GGAAGCCGATTTAAAGGATAGGTTACAAACTACCGATAATAGCTCAGCAATTTCCCATTTGAGTTCTTTTAGAACCCTTGGATGAATGCCATCCGGTCCCGGAGATTTGTTAACATTAAGTTTTTCTATTTGTTCCAAAACCTCCTCTAATGACACTTCAATCCGGGACAGTTCCTCAGATTCATCACCCACAAAGGAAGGTGCAGATTCAGGAATCTCCCCAACGTCCTCAGCCGTGAAGACTGAAGCAAAGAAATCATTTAGTTTCTCGGCAATGGTTTTATCGTCCTTGATTGTCCCGGAGATTTGTTAACATTAAGTTTTTCTATTTGTTCCAAAACCTCCTCTAATGACACTTCAATCCGGGACAGTTCCTCAGATTCATCACCCACAAAGGAAGGTGCAGATTCAGGAATCTCCCCAACGTCCTCAGCCGTGAAGACTGAAGCAAAGAAATCATTTAGTTTCTCGGCAATGGTTTTATCGTCCTTGATTGCTCCTTTTATAGCTCAATCATCTAGTAAATCACAGTAAATGTGAAATATTCATATGAGAAAGAGGTCTGATCACTTAAGTAAGGGTATGCATAACTGGGACATATATCTAAAGTTAAGTTTGCTTTTTGAAATTCTGGGTCAGTATGCCGGGATACAAGTGACACCTGCTTTAAAAAAGTGTAAAAGAAAGTAAGCATTTAGAACTCTTTTTCACTCCCCATAAAAAATTGTGTGGAGACTAACCTTACTACTAAAACAAAGGATTCTCTTTATAGTACACTGGATATCCTGCTTAGCAGAGTTTGCCAGAGCAGCAGAGATAGCATTCTGAACCTGGAGGTGGACTACAGAGTAGGCATGTATAAGAAGGAGGAAAAGGGAAGTTCAACATCACTTTTAAGTGTAACATTGAAGTACTCACTCTCTTGAGAATGGAAGTCTGGCCTCCTTCTTTAGAAAGAAGCAGGTTGCATGAAGCAAGATCTTTGATATATGGAAACAAAAGAATCTGAGGGCATTATTTGATTGTAATTAGGAGAAATGTAATTGATTGTAATTAGGAGAATCCAGGGGATTGCATTTTTCATTGAAGAGGAAATTGTTTTTAATAAATCAAAATATAAAAAGATAGAAATTATTTTATAATAGTTTTTTCTAACAAGTACACTCTTCTTCCACCACTCGCCCCTCATCATTCTGTAGATTCAATATACTTCTGGATGATTTGGAAATTGCTCCTACGTCTACACTGCAACATAGCAATCCAAGAAAACGACTCCAGTTTCTTTCGCTAGATGATACAGAAGGTAATTTGTCAGAATGGGCATAATTATGATTATTTTTTAATTTCATTTTTTCCTCCTAAAGCAGGGGTGAGGAACCTTTTTTTTGGGTTGGGGCCACTGACCCACAGAAAAATCAATTGGAAGCCGCACACAATGCAAGTGAGAAGTAAAAACAAAAAAACCCTCAATGACATGGCTCCCGACTGAGAAGGAGAAAGACACTCCCCACATTTCCCTCCCACACCAGAGGCTAGGTGGAGCCCAGACTAGTAGATTTTGTGTGCTCCAGTCCCACGGTGGGGCAGCGGGCAGGGAGAGTGAACTGGAGTACTTGCACAGACTCCTCAATGCTGAGGGGCCCTGAGGCGTAGGGACCAGATCTAGGCACCAGGTGTGAGGTACTCCACCCCTGTTCTAAAGTGACCTTTTTCCTCTGCATAGTTTCCACTGAGTTAGATAAGAGGAATCATGAAAAATTTTTTCTAATAAAGCTTAGTCTGTATTTTACAATAACTAAATGTAATTACAATAATAGAATAAATATTTGATTTTTATACATGTGCATATACAATAGAATATAAATAATTCAACTGAAAAATAAGAAGAAAGGAAATAAGTGTCCTAAATTCTAATTTAGTTAAGTAATATATATATTATGAGGAGCCATATCAATATGTGTATTCAGTATCTTTAATAAATATTCTATTAGTAAGTATTGCATGCAAATAGTGAAGGGTAATTATAATAATAAAGTTATTTAATTAGTTTTTAAATTGATGGATGCAAATCTTATTTTAACCACATTTATATTAAATTACTGAATGTATATTTATCTTTTATACATGTTGAATGTATAGTAGACTTCCGATAATTCGGCACGTTTGGGACCTAGGTGGTTTATCGGATATGCCAGAGTATCGGGTGGTACTCCGGCAGGGGGGCTGTGACAGGTCTTCCGGGACCTGCACAGCATCTGGGGAGTGGGCAGGGAATGGTGTGGTGAGGGGTGAACCCTCCGCCGTTTTGCAGGAAGGCAGGGGAAGCTCCACACTGCTGCCAAGAATTTCCGGGAGGGGAGCGGGCTCCCCATCCCCTAGACTGCAGTAGTTATTGCTGAGCAGGGGGATCAGGGGTGGTGCTGTGGGACCAACCCTGGCAGTACCCCAGCTGCTCTGCTCCACCACTTGTCCGCC